CCTGACTATGGATCAATGTTACTCATATTATACTAATACATTCGTGCGGTTTATCTTCATCACGATGACGCTCTAAGTGTAAAGTACATGCACATCTTCAAGGACGACAAGGATATCTTCGTTGCATTTAAGATTATCAAAATGTAGGCACGCATGTGTTTGTATTGTTATGTGTGATTAAAGTACGCAGGTGTATGTCACCATTGACTTCTTGATAATTTGCAAAATAGCAATCTCCACAAGCATAAAATGGTTTTTTTTTTTTATTGCAACACCTACATTTAAATCATCATTTATATTTCATTTCTTATTTAAGCTATAATCATGTTTTTCGTTCATACCCCTGTGTAAAACAAACAGTAGAATTATGCATTAGGAACCCTTTGGAGGAAACGATGTTGTAAGCTTATATCAGGCTTGTTCGCTTTTCATCGATTAAGTATATAGTCATTCTGTAATGATATATATGGAATTGATATGTGTGTGTGTGTATGTGGTGGTAGTGGTGGTGGTGGTGGTGTGTGTGTATGTGTGTGTGTGTGTGTTTTGTGCTCTTTTTTTTTATAAAGATTTGAGAGCATCTGTCTTCAATGCAATTTTCAAATATCGTTCTGAAAAATGGTTTAACTGAATGAAACGGATCCAAAGCACCCCGAATATGAACATTTTTTTATCACTCACGCTTATAGAAATATTCTTTTCATCGCTGTACGGATATCAGACAGTGAAGGAAAACATCGAGAACGTGATGTACTGTTTTAATTACAGATTTGAAAATTTTACACGTGTGTATTAGTATATTTAATCAAAAATAGTTCGCGTCGAGAAAAGTGCGCTTAGTTTTCACGATACTAACAGATCATACAAGCTGGCAAATAGTCTATAACCATTTGTGATAATGAATTCCATGTGTTTGATGCTCGTTAGAATGTCCGATGATCCCGTTTGAGAACGCGCCATTATTTACATGGATTGACCAATATTGTATATTACTCATTTTTGAGAAACAGTATTTTCTCTTTGTAATTTTACAACAGTCTCTTCTTCTTCTATTGAGTCTCATCAATTTTGAATTCCAGGGACGGTTTAACTAACAAGTCTATTTGCGCTTGGAGGTCAATATGAATGCATCTACATTTTCAGTTGAGAAGTGAACCTGCCGATTCAACAATAACTCTCGCTGCTATGGAATGGTACAGGAGGACAGCGTGTAAAGAATAATGTGAAATACCGCTACCTAGTATTGCACATAGACCGCGTACACACACGTTGACGACTGCTGTTCCGGCAGTTTGGGTCTGTGCGCCCTCAACAGAACTCGCGCGGAAAGGTCGCACCTGTCACTGGCAAATGCTGCTGAAAGATGAACACTATGAGCAAAGTAGACATGATTTCAGTGATAGCTAATTGTCAGGCACTTCCCTGTTTAACAGGCCTTGTTGTACATGTTGTATCCCTGCCGGGGTTAATAGCCATAGAACGCTCGCCATTCCTCACAAATATAGGTTCTTCCAAATACCACTGTGGAAACAAAATACCGGAAGGAGTTTGATCTAGCTGTAGACACGAGTACTATTATTTACCAACATGGTACATAAAATATCTCTATCAATGAAAGGCGAGATATTTCAGATGTGTCTTAAAGCAATTGAAAAACAGATTTTCCTCAAAATATAAATTTGTTACACGTTCAACGGAATATATTCATGGGTTTTAAATTATGTCGGCATCGATTTTATTTAAAGTATATAATGTTTTACGTTATAGGTGTAATAGTACGCACGCTTTGAAACGTGTTCATATCCGTCTTTTTTCGAAAGTAATGGTACTTTAATGCAATAGAAGGGATCGTATTTGTTAGATCAGTTTTCACCTCCAGGCATCAACGTTACAGTACATCAGCTGATCTGTCGTCTTCAAACCATCTGATCGCGCATCTCTGTTCGTAATTACAGCATAGCGACGCGTGGCTGGAGATATAAATATATCACAACGTTTGATTTGATATGGTAGATTTTATTACCGCGGGCATCTCTTGTTTTTCCAAAGAAAAAGGTGTAAACATGAGGTACAGTCTATGATAGGAAAAGACGTAAATCAATGACAAAACACCAAAGGAAAAGAAGAGGAAATGAAATATTTACTACTTTCTTAGTTCTTATTTAAACGCTATAAGAAAATGACGGGGCCCGCTGAGTCTTGGGTAATGGAATAATCTTCCGACTCGGAAACGGTAAAGTTTGACAGTACCAAGGAATGCCTAGCCGTATGTAGCAGAGCTTTCATTATAAAAACCCATGAAATGATTTACGATAGTGGATAATAGAGGATTATCTTGGATTGAAATGGATTTTCTTCCAAATGTTGTTGTTTCCAGTTGAATCAAACCCATCGACATGGTAATAAAAAACTAGCCACCTTATTATCGAGAAGGGAGAAATTGTGATTGCAATTTACTAAAATATTAAAAAGATTTTTTTACACCTTGTCTATTTATTGAGAAGTTAATCGAACAATTACACAAGGAATGCCACTTAACAAACATAAATTAATGATAAGCCTTGTTGGGGATCATTAAAAATTGAGAGCAAGGGAACTATTACAAGGAGAAAAAATATTGCACCACGTTTTTTTATTGATCACATTACCGAGTTGACTTACCGGATCTGTTATCATAACATCATGTTAATGTTTACGCATTTTGTGAATTATTGTCATGTTTAGGAATATATTTCTATGTATTCAAATGAAATATCAATAAATCAATTTTGTCAGTGTCATAGTAGAACAAATCGCGTTAAAAATGACAAAAATGAACGATTAACTTAAACATTTAAGATATAAATGCAATGCATTATTTCATTGTGTTACAATGCATATAGCTACTGCCATTACAAATGAATGTTGTCATGCATTAAGTGACATTTATTTAGAATGAATAAGCTCAAAAATAAGCCTAATCAGCCATTTTCTTTATGTTACGTAGCGTTTCCAAGTGTTATCTAACTATCAATTCTTTCCAGTCGTCGGCGGTTGCAATTGGTTTCGTATCAAATGGTCCCATCTTAAAACATAGGAGACGTGTTATATACGATTACAACGCCTGTTGTATAGCTCAATTGTATGCACGTTTTATGACAGAAGGATAAACTTTGAACATTTCACAATATACATTGTATATCACAGTCATGCTTTTCTTCCATGGCAGTTTATTGACGGAAAAGGTTTTTATAACAGCGATTGGTCATGCTTGATGAGATTATATAAGCAATCTTGGTAATTCGGAAATCTGGTTTAAGTATTTCTTAGGTATGAAATGTATACTCAAAATGAAGCTACACAATGCCAGGTTCTGTATAAAAGTTAAATACAATGCAGATGTGATAGTCGAATGAAACAAGAAGTGTAGTTGTAGTAAAATCTATGGAATTTGACATATCTAATATACGTGTTTCTTAAACCATATAACAAGTAATATATATTCTAGTTCCTCTGGTTCACTATGTAATATGCGAGTACTATTATTCTACAAGTCTGTCAAACAAGTTAGCTAAAGTGTATCGTACAGTCTGACTACATATCGTACAGTTTGACTACATATCGTACAGTCTGACTACATATCGTACAGTCTGACTACATATCGTACAGTTTGAGTACATATCGTACAGTCTGACTACATATCGTACAGTTTGACTACATATCGTACAGTCTGACTACATATCGTACAGTTTGACTACATATCGTACAGTCTGACTACATATCGTACAGTCTGACTACATATCGTACAGTTTGACTACATATCGTACAGTTTGACTACATATCGTACAGTCTGACTACATATCGTACAGTCTGACTACATATCGTACAGTTTGACTACATATCGTACAGTCTGACTACATATCGTACAGTTTGACTACATATCGTACAGTTTGAGTACATATCGTACAGTTTGACTACATATCGTACAGTCTGACTACATATCGTACAGTTTGACTACATATCGTACAGTCTGACTACATATCGTACAGTTTGAGAACATATCGTACAGTCTGACTACAGTTTGTCTACATATCGTACAGTCTGACTACATATCGTACAGTCTGACTACAGTCTGACTACATATCGTACAGTCTGACTACATATCGTACAGTCTGACTACAGTCTGACTACATATCGTACAGTCTGACTACATATCGTACAGTCTGACTACAGTCTGACTACATATCGTACAGTCTGACTACATTCTGTCTACATATCGTACAGTTTGACTACATATCGTACAGTCTGTCTACATGTCGTGCAGTCTGACTACATATCGTACAGTCTGACTACTTATCGTACAGTCTGACTACATATCGTACAGTCTGAGTACATATCGTACAGTCTGACTACATATCGTACAGTCTGACTACATATCGTACAGCTTGACTACATATCGTACAGTTTGAGAACATATCGTACAGTCTGACTACAGTCTGACTACATATCGTACAGTCTGACTACATATCGTACAGTCTGATTATGTGCAGTGTATCGTTCAGTTTGACTTATTTTTTTTAATATCACATACATGTGATTATTAGTAACATATATGGATTCAGTTTGGCTATATAATCATATCCATCATTGTATTCGACAAGTTCGTGACGTCATTACATTCACCATGTATCGTGTTAAAGACAAATTATAGTCTTATTAAGGATTAAGGATTTATTTTCTTTGATTTGGTGTCATTCTCAAATTCATCTATCCATTGACTGTTTAATTATACGTAAGCAAATGTATAGGTATATCTATCTACGTCTTGTGTCCAGTATGCTTGTGAGCAAACCGCGAAAATTGAACTCTATGAAAATACTGGATTTTACAGTATGGATGTATGAAGAGATTTTTTTGGCAAAAATGATCATGAATATATTTATTTTCTGCTCGATGTAATAATATTTGTATGTTTCTATGTGAAATTACTTCAAGTAAACACCGTTTCTCTCTTATTGCAGCACTTCCCAGTGGGGCCGTGCGATACCTCCGGCCAATGTTTAATGATATGGAGTCTAATGTTACTGCCTATGTAGGTGACTCAGCGGTGCTCGAGTGCTCCGTCAGGAACCTTGGAACAAAATCTGTAAGTTGTATTGTACTTCATTTCATCTACAAATAATTCATCATTACTTATTTGTTCTATGATACATATATTTATTCATAAATATATCATGAATATTCATCAGTGAACATATGACAGATTGGTTTCGCAATCCTCACGAGAAACTCTAAGCAGGAATTATTCTACGGAACAATCGCTTGAAGTGAGTCAATTCGAGATATTGTCCAGTCATCGTTCTCACAGTCCCTTATCAACAATCACATACAACCAGGGGACCTGACTCAATGTTCAGTCTACCATTAGTTCGGTTATTAATTAATGATTATAACTCAGAATTTTATCATACTCGTTTAAACATTTACCGTAATTTGATCGTTAACAGGGAAACTAAATCCGTCGAAAGTTACGGTGTTTTGCTCGTGACACGAACAATTGATATTTTAATCTGTGTGATCACTGACGAACATTGGAATACAAATGATTCACAGGCCCACTCCTGTTAAAATTGTAACAATATCAAGATAAGACAAAACCGTCTCATGACTTTGACAAACGATATTGGTTTATACAGCCTGTACCGAAAGTAAAATAGAATTATTGAAATCTTGATTTATAAAGATATTTAGAAACTGATACAGAAATACTGTAGGCAAACATTATGATACAACGTGCAATATCAACAAATACGAGTTCTGCATTAATAAAAAGGTAAAACCAATAAAGTAAAGAATAATGAATTGGAAATGTTCATGAACATTGAGAGTTGGCATTTGTTGCTCTGAGATGTCCATTATGTCGTTTTGTTTCATTGCCAGATTAATTGCTCGTTCAATGCGCTATGTTTTTATCGATTCGCATTTTAACGACTTTAAAAACGGATACAGCGGGGTTTAGAAACGTTAACTTAGAGACAATATGGAGAATCTCTTGGGATCAAGCGGTGTTTGGAATAATTAGCCATGCATCATATGCATCAGCCCAATATCACGTCTGTGTTCACAGGATAAATTGTTTGTGACGTCTTATAAAAATATCTATTTATGAGGTAAAAGGAAATTTCCCACATGGAGAAGAAATTAGGTGTGGCAGCTGTGATGAAGACAATTCCTTGTTCTGACAGTTTATCGAATTTAGAATTTTTTGTCAGTAACCTTGAAATGTTCGAGGAGATGGTGGTTCGGTTTTTGAAAGCGATAGAATGCTTGGTTTTGTCAGCTATTTGTAATTCAAAGTTTTAGTCATGTAGTTGAAATCGAATAATAGAAATAAAGAAAATGTTAATTTCATTAACAGATATACATGCATGACGATATTCTTTAAAAAAACGATTATCAGCAGGAATGACTCATTTTTGCGATGAGTTGCCCTAATCAAATACCTTTTCATTACTTAAATCATTTTTTCTATTAAACTAACATTTGTCTTTATGTTTGTATATCAAATAAACATTCTCATCTTTACACAACATATGGAATAACATATAGGTGTTGAGATAATAGGGCAGCATTGTTGAATTCTTACGGTATTTGGAGCAGACGTCTTCCGGTTTCACGTCTACAAACGTTTTATTTCACGAGTATAAGATGATAGGGATAATTGCATTTTTTTCTTTGTTTTGAAAAAGGAAAATTACAGATTCGATCAAAACATAAAACAATTCTGTATTTGAAAAACGATGAGAAACAGTTCTATATATTATGACGCATCGCAATTAATAATGCCATGTTTGACTAGACAATGCCTTTTTTCTGATAGCAAAACGTAATATTGTTCTGTTCCACTCTTTCATAGTGTTTAATGAATCGGTATAAAATTGAACATTAAAAATACGCAGTGCTCAAGGTAACAGTCTGGTGGAAACACATTTCGTTCAAGCCATCGGACAAAAAAAAAAAAAAAAAAAATATCGGAGAATTTTACATAGAATAAAAAGCATTTCTCTGATTGGTCTGACTTCCTGCACCACAGACGGTTTATCTTCAGCAGTGTTTTTATTATATTTCCTATATCATCATTATGTTAAATTGATTTTTTTTTAAAATAATATCTTTTCGTTTATCATATGCACAAAATGTAATATACTTTTGTGTGATCAGACGCTCTGGTTTATGACAACTGAGCATAAACGCTATGATGGTTTTTGTGGTTATATGTCGGGACATGTAAAAATCAAGCATCACTTGCTTATTTCGATACAAGATTATGTTTCATTTTTTTCCTTTGATAAATTTCATTTAGATCGTTTTCTGATTTTATAGTATTAGGAATCCACTATAACAGTTTTCTTGATAAAATGATGATGATTTATACAGTTGTCGCCCTTGTTGTTTTTGTTTCTGTTTATGTGACTGTATGTTTGTAATAGTGTGCTGTACACTGTGTTTTTGGTAACGACGTTGTTTAGATATTGTTAATATGGCTTCCGTGATAGCGACAGTGTGTTTCTCAGCAAAAAAAATATCTATTTACCAAGCAACTCGAATTAAATCATACCCAAATAAGTTAACTTTGTGTACATTTTTTCACAAAAATAGCAAAAACAATATGTACATATCGATGACATTTCAATAAATGATCTTCTCCTTCAATACAGGGGTTTGTTGTATCATTAACAAATACAGCAGAGCCATTTGTGTATATAAAGAGATTACTCAACGAATATTGGTGGAATATTTTGATTCATACAGAGGAGAAAGTTATTTTTTTCAAAAGTTACAAAAATTAGAAACTTTTGTGAGTGTTTTTGTGTCTTTTTGAGAATATCTAACGAGAGTGAAAGAAATACATGTACCATAAGCGACGACCATTAGTTTTTAAGACCGGTTACTTCGACAATTAAAAGGCTGTTTCCAAGCTTAATCGACCTGTTCTTATTCCACTCTTTCATTATCGTCATCTGTTAGGACATAATGATTCTATGCCGCTAATTGATATATAAAAACTGACAATTACATAAAGACACGGAGACGTTGTTAGTCATAACAATTTATAACTATAATTAAATTCGTTTGTTATCTTCAAAGCAAAAACGAAAGAAATAGAAATACGATTATTAAAAGAAAAGCAACCGTGACCTACTTATTGTGCGTTTTAATCTCCACGAGCAGATGAAGCTCTCTTTCGGTCAAAAGCTCATCATGTTATCTTATCAAAATATGCTAAAATGTTATAACACATCGCTTATACCATGTATGTTTTATATAAAACTTAGAATGATTAATTAATGTCTTGGGAGATCAGATGAATAATACCAACGCATTGTAGTAGAAAAATAGTTTTTAAGTCTTTTCGGTTTTTGCATTAGATTAATGAAACATGACAATCCAACCTGTTGCGTGTAACCAGATAGTCCTGCAGCCATTTTTACCGGATAAAGTACTTTTTTGTTGTGACCTTATAGTTGTCAGATATGTCCTAAAGCAGCCATGAATCGTTACAATCTGAACTATGTATTGAAGTCACTAATTCTTATCTAGAGACGTTGAATTTGGATTGTAAATCAAATTTGTTCTATATGTCAGCGTTAATGCTAAAGTGTGTATCAGGTACATTTACGTTCAAATGAGACGGTGCATTAGGAATACCGTCTATTGTCTACATGTGTATCACGTAAAGACATATTCCCATGTGTTTTATTTCACATGAAAATTGCAATGTCTGCCGGATTCAGACTCCCCTTAGAACTGGGACAAAGTTCTACAAACTGAACTTTTAATCAGAATATGTTAATATTCAATAAAATTATATATTTTATAAACGGCTATTTTTGCAAACATACATTGTCGAAATGAATGTACATGGCTTGAAATTACTTTTGAGGTTAATCCATTATAATGACGAAATAATGCTCTTGGTATTATGGTATACTTGACAAAAGAACAGTACATTTGAAAACTCTGTAAAACACATCGTATTTTGTTATAGAAATGCAATCGATATTTATTTATCAATTTGGTTTAGAGACTAGTTATACCTTAACAAACTTGTAGTGTTCATTAATTGATAAAATAATGACCATAAACATACATTTAATAGTACGCCCGACCTCTGTAGATGATATAGTTGACTGTTGGTGTGGTTTCAAAAGTGAATTATTCACACACATATGCCATAAATCACTTGTATATTGAGTTGCAATGGGTCTAGTCGACACTTTATACCAATATAACGGTAGAATGGCTACGAATGCGCTGGATTACAAATATTAACGTTTCGGGTAAATGGTTGCAGACGCACGACAATTCCAGATTAAGTCCCCTGAGATACAGACATTAACTATGTAACCAGAGTTATGGTATAAGTTACAATTACCCATTGTTAAACAAGGGAATGAGAGCCAAAGCAAATTGCTAAGTCACGGACTCTTTCAACGTGTAAACACTATCCGTGTGTTATAACAGGTAGTTTTTACTGCATAATTGATTTTGTAGACTGTGTGACCTAACTCAACACAGTAGTAGAGGATTTTCCAACTTTCCACTGATATCAGGTACATAATAGCAATATAGAATATGATATAGTATCGAAAGGAGAGAGATAGGGTTTATCAATGGTGTGTTAAGGTAGGCAGAACTACCAATTAAAATTTTAACGATGTACATGGTCGTTTTAATACGCCGTCATTGATATTCTACTTACTCATTAACGGTGATGATGATGACAATATAATTTACTAATGAAACTAGTAATTTCCGTGTCATACACGTTCATTATATATGTTATGTACAACTGTATCATCCGTGTTTACCAAGTCTGATTTTTGTTATAAAAGTGACCGGTATGATGGATTTATAACAGTTAGAGGCAAGATAAACAGATCAGGCAAGTTGTTCAATACATACTGTATATTCCGAAAAAAAGAGAAGAATGAAGAGAGCATCTGATATATTATTTTGATTTTATTTGATGTCATGCTAAAAACATATCCTACTTGGTTGTTTGAAGGTCATTACGGTATCGTTAATCTTTTATGAGACCTTAATAATTAACCGAATTAAGCGAAATCACATATTTTGAACATGTGAGTTACAGCAAATACAACCCTCCATAATTCTATAGTGTATATGAAAACGTTGCCGTAGGTGCCAAAAGATCTTTAGAATTCGTCCAGGTAATGTATAGCTTGGTAACGAAACTTACCTAGCTATCATCTATACAGCATTCACATGGTCGCAAACTGCTTAGAACAGACTACATGTAGCAATAAATCATTTAGAAACGAAATACCTCAGTAGTTGACACATCACGACAACAAACTACAGACACTTAACACCAAGTCAAATATCAACACTTTACCACTAGACTCCATCGACTTATCGGTGTAAAATATATCACTACATCATCCAATCTGGAGGTCGATGCAAATTATATATATATATATATATATACAAATTAAGAAATTATCTTTTGTAACACATCTAGAAACCGTCCGAAACTTCAGTCAATTAAACAGTCAGTTTTTTTATATACGAAGTGGAAATGACATCACCTATGAACCACCATCACGATCACAAGAGAATGTCATAAAGTATTTAGCTTCCTGAACCATCTTCGACAAAAAACAAACTTTGTGGAAAACCTCACAACCATATTAAGATTGCACAAAAGACGCACAAGTGAATAACGCCTTTTCATACAAATTTAGAGCCAACAAATGCATTGAATGGAATAAAATACATGTTTTGTCCTTCTAGGACTCGTCAGTGATTCTAAGGGCTAAAATTATGCAGTCTAGGAGGTGACAGCCAATTTGGTAGAATGAAAAGGCAAAAGAACTAACCATGGCATGCAGGATACGGCAAACCTCGAGAAACAGATCTTCACACATTTGCCAACATCTTTTTTTACCAGCGAATGCAGAGAGAAACAATGAAAGTGATTAACCGATTAAGTTTCGCTTTCATGGCAATAGATGAAATAACGAAAACAATGAAGACTTAAGTTTGGGTAGAAACAAATATTTCTTTGTATAATGAATACAACGATCTTCTGGATTCCGATGTAGGAACATTGTTTAGTCCATGACGTACTTAATTAAAACATGCGCACCGTACCTAGTGATGTTGCTGAGGTCACGGAAGTCTTGCTGGCATTCCTGCTACTTCCGTTGGGATCTAACGCTAATTGTACGCTTTAGGGCTACACAGATATTAAAATCCATCCCAGATCTTTTGTGCTGACGAGCCGTTGCGTACAGAAAAATACAGAACTCAATTAGACTATCAAACTTGTTTTTAGTCGTATTATCGTTAAAAATTTTCTTAATATCGAACGATTGATTAGTTAATCAGACAGGATGTTGGGAATACTAAAATTTTAGTAGGTATTTACTGTTCATGTGTAAATGAACCCGCATTTAATGTGCAGAACAGTATTCAAGCTTTTGAAATTCACCTTGCTTATATACACAACTACAGCTCTGCCGATTCCGTGACTATGAACTTGAAGGACCACCATAATACATAATATTATCATATTTCTAATTTCTAAACAAAAATAATCATAACATGTACATACATGTATATCAATTGATTATTTTTGCAAAAAAGTAATTTCCTGATAGCTAAAAAGCACAAAATTATTATATACAAAATAGCTAAAGCACAGTCAATATTAAAAAGGTATTTCATTACTGACTTTTTGGTATAGTTCCATGAATATCATGGTACCTATAATTGGTTTCGTTTTCCTTATGTTCATTTCGGCATGACGTCTAATTAGGCTTGGGAAACTGCCGCAAAATCTGTCAAAATGTCCTGCTGATGTGCCTTGAATTCCTAATCCACACTTGTCCAATTATCGAGGCCTTATCGCTGAGAATTAAAGAATGTTAAGTGCTCAATTTCATCAGAATTGCGATAAGATTAGAGCGGAGAGAACCGTTTTCTATTATATAGAAGTTGTCGTTTCAATGGGAATATATCTTATTGGGTTCCTGATCTTGAATCAGTTACATTAACCTATTCTTTCCATGAAGATATTTTCCACAGCGATTGTCCCTGGCAGGAAGCTTGCAATTCCCAGATAACTTGATATTTGTTCCAGTTTCATCAGTAATGTCTTATTAAATCGAGTGAGGTCGCTTTGAGCATGATCTGAGGAAATCGTGGCACATGAAACACATTTACATTAGGTTCGTCTAGTGACATGACTTAAGAAGGGATCTCCAATTGGATGGTATCTAACACGTTACTGCTACAGAACACATCATTAGTTCGCCAAACACTCACATATTTTATCAAAACAACCATCTAATGTAAAAAAGGTTTCTTTGGAGATCATCCCTGGATTTTAATATGTCCCATGTGGATATTTTATGGGGAACTTGCTATTGTTTATTTCCCAAGGAGCTTTATGTTTTTTAACCTTTTATAAGATCATACCGAAAATAGGGTCAGTTTTCATTGAAATGTTGTTTTTTTATCATTAATCAATGAAAGAACTTGAGAGGTTGTATTTTAGCACTATGATTTTAAATGTAGTATCAGAGTATATATCTGTAGCTAGCCAATGGCTGAAGCGCGGAAAATTGTAAATGTTGACATGAAAACAAGAAGGAGAAAGGTTTTTAGAATAACATCTCCGAAATCAGATCAGAATATCGAATTAAAGACAACATCTTAAATCTCGAGAGACGACGGTAACTAATCAAATGTTATTCACATGTAAAATGAATGGAGGCTGCCTTGTAGCATAGATGACTCTTTTGCATATCGTTATTCGTGTTTAATTTGTCTCCTAGCATCTTTGAAATTAACATTTTCTTCTTTTGTGACATCAAAACCTATGTTTGTTGAGAAAAATTAGAAAAATAAAATGAATAGAAATGAAACTTCATTCCGTTTATTATCCATGTGCTATATAAAATAGCATACATCCGTATGATTTAGGTATGGAAGTCTTCGATTGAGGTTAAATGTTTTATCTATGGTCTGATTAAACAGGGGCAACTTGTAATATTTCAACGATGATTTATTATAGCGCGCCATTTAAAACGTCACGTACGAAATGCACGTTAAAACTGTAAGCGTGATCTATATATAATTGTGAACTGGTTGTTCTGCAAAATATATCCTTCATACCTGATTATAATTGGTGATATTTCCGGAAAGGAAAGAGCACATAAATTTTTCTTTCCTTAAAAACGAGAAAAAAATCCCACAGGAAAAATAATGGGAATCCACCGCTGTGATATTTGCTGTGCTTTTTCAATTATGTATGCCATGCACTATTCTGTTATGGAACTTTTTACCGTTATTTTCTGTATTGTCTGAATTACTTTTTGTGATTATCAATCACTTATTTCGTGAGATATTTCATCAAATGGATGCCATTAACAGAATTACAGAAACACCATTACAGATGCCAAAACGGAGTTGGAATAAAATGTTCCTTTCAAAACCTTGTGAAAATGGTTTTTATTAATCCCTAATGCAATTAATAATTGACATCGATTTACGATCGTCATCTTATATTTTCCCCATCTGATTCTGAACCATAATTTTTGTGTGTTTTAGGTAATTTGGAAGAGGAAGTCAGAGAAACATGCATTGACGATAGGTGATTTTGTGTTTACGAGCGACAACTCCTACTCCGTGGAACATGTCGACCGCAGTCAAATCTGGGCTCTCGTTATTAAGAATGTGCAAAAAGAGCACGCAGGGGAGTATGAGTGCCAAATTAGTACTAAGGAGGACCTAAATAAAACCGTATCATTGACTGTGTTAGGTAAGTTTTCTTACGCTACACTTGCCCTATAATTTATCTCAAACACATCGAATTGCCCTTAGTTACTGTACATGCATAATTAATAAAACACTATTCCACTTTGTCTAACATATATATCTAAACGTATGCATATTTGTTCAGTTAATTTGTGACACGATTAAAAGAAAATGAAAAAAAAGGACGTTAAATGGAAAAGTCAAGTTTACTGAAATGATATCAAAGAGAAAGCAGACATACCTATATAATGACAAGTGTACACTCTTACAATGCAAAGAACAATTCATTTGTTTTATACACACATTTATTATGATGTAGTACATTTATTATATTCTGATACAAATATTGATGTGAAACATTTTGAATAACCCTCATGAGCACAAAGACAATTTATAAAGCAGCGGGAGCACACAGTGTTACCCGATAAACGATGCTGCACGATGCAAGATGTGAGCACGATGCTAATATCGAAAATAGGCGATTTCATTTAAGTTAATAAAAGACTGAAGGATATTTATGGTATAAGGTTCATCTAGTTTCTGACCAAATAAGAACAGCTCAATTAATCATATTTCATGATTAAGCAATATCTGCGAACTATATGGTTTTGTAAGATGAACGTCTTCTTTTGTCTCGGCAATGGACCATCTAAAACCTTTTATCGTCAGCAAGGAAACTCCCTTTACATTCCCGCTGTATTGCTCTTATTTTCTATCAGTTTGTAGATAAAGCAATATATATTGTACTTAGGTAAATCCTTACTCATTACACCAGAGACTAAGCTGTTGTAGAATTGAGACATACATTTTGTAGATACCCGTGTTTATTTGTTCCCGAAGCACACCATTCACCAATCTTAAATGCCAAATCCGTTTATATTTCAATAACAGTCAAATTAAAGAAGACCTTTATAATCACTGATCAACAGTGAATGCGCCTATGATGCCTATTTAGTCATAACTACACGAATTTTCAGGTTGGTTCTTAATCCGTATCATCAAATAAATCATCGATTTTCACCAAGTCGCACAAATGTGAGATTCCTTCGCACGAAGAGCAGGGACTTTTTTTGTAAATTGTGCGATACCACAAACTATAGTCTTTTTTCCGCACCATATGCATATATAGAACAAATTGGAATTGTAGCATTTTAACAGAATATCTACTTTCTTTTACAGATGCATCAAGACAAACACCAGGTATTTATATTTACTTCCTGAAACTACATGCATTAGTTATATTCAATTTTAAATTAAAGAGATGTGTTTTGAGTAGATTTTTCATCTTATGAATATATTGTTGGATTTGGTTTCACGTATGCTACTGCTGGTCTAGTCTTAGAAATCATCACATTTGTTTTTAATTTGGTTACAGTTGGTACAAAAATAGTGCAAGTGGAGAACAACCGGAAGTTAGGCAAGTCGGGACACTTCGCGAATGTTGGCTTGGTTAAACGCAGTCGACGAACGCACATTTTTTCGCGAATCAATGAAAATTAAAAAAAAAAAATCACAACGATTGGTCTCAGTGATGTATGGATACTGTACATCTTTAAATTATCAAAATGTTGTCAGATGTAAGTAAAGATGGATTGAATGATTTTTGAAGTTAATTTGTGCAGCAGAGTTCGTCGACTGCCTTTGCTCCTCGTAGACAAATCCGTCTGTTCGGAGATGACGTCTTCTTTGTGTTCGTCACATATATCTTATTAGAAGTTTGATTTCAGCTGTTATAGGCTCATTGTCTTCTTATCACATTTCGGCTGCAAATGAGAACTATACCTTTAACATTTCACTACTCTTAAGTGTCAGAATTGATTTTGAAATTGAATTAGAAAATCAATGAAATTGCGGAATGTACTTTGTGTATGCATTTAATGATACACAGACCTTTTAATAATATTTGGGACACCTAGGTATTGATGCTGACTTTTAATAAATTACCTACCGGAAAATCTTTTTCATCTTTGCTATATACCTCTTTTCCGCCTACATCTTTACATTCATGAGTGAATTTCGCCGTCTACTCTAGTAATGTAAGGTGTGTTATGATACTTCATGTGAGGTTACAATGTTTGTTGTCTTCCCATCATGTGTGGGGTGGAGAGTGAGAGTGTTCATTGTTAATGGTCAGACATAGTGTAACGATTTGTGATAAGAACTAGAGTAGTGATTGGTTGATTATCTTCTGTCATTGCTTTTGAAAGTTAACATCTTCATTTTAAACATTTTACTTTGTTTACGTGTAGTGATATTATACAAATAGTAAATATATAAACGTAGATGACAACTGCACTCCTTGTTTAAATGCAGCATATTTGTATCACGTGATCATCTTAGTTCCGGTAAACATCAATCACGTGTATAATTCATCAGTTTATACACGATGCAGTAATCGTGGTAGCCATCTCGACATGTAAATTGCATGCATCCATCCGATTAAAATTCACATCGTATTATTGTTTGGACCTACATTGTACAGATAGGGAAACGAGATGTCTACCACGGCACAAATGTAGAAGTTCCTTCACGTTCTGTTTTGTTTGTTTATGTTGCTCGTCGTTGTTTACTTCCAGTGCCCACACAGCGGCCCTCGCCCATATCATCAGGTACAGACATTCCGTATATATATATATATGTTTTAAAATACCAGTTTTGTTGTTCATTATAATTCACTCACTTTTCTGCACTACATAAATTTACTGACATACAATTCGCGTGCCCGGTCCACTGTTTGTCCTTGCGCCCTTTTGGCAGACTTAGTCTTCTAACCCATCCGTAGTAGTGCTTTGAGTGGGTGGGGAAGGGGGAGGGGGAGCATGCGGATGTCTTAACAAACAACGTATGATGAAATATATGTCATCTCATAGTTCCTATGTCCTCTCAAGTTATAATGACACCACTGTAATAGACTACGGCTAAATTGAATTCCTTAATCGATATTCTAAAACAACTTTATTGCCAAAAGCAATACGCACTATTTCCTTTTCAAAAGTACATATCGTTTCTGCTCGCATATGTGTCTGCTTTCTCGTCTGCGAATTTTCTGCTTCGTCTACACACCCTTGGTCTTAACCGTACTAAATGTTTGAGTAGACGCCATAGCCGTACATTATTGGTCATGTGGACAAGCAAAGCACGTGCACACTTGGAGATGTTGTTTTCTTAGCTTAAAGTGTTTCCAGACGAAATCATGTTCGGAAAACGAAAGCAATTGTGCTAACTTCAAAATCTCTGTAGTTCAAAAATACATTGCCAAAAAACATCACATCGGTACCAATGAGTTCGTTATGCTGTGATTCCTACCCCATTAAGGCTGCGTTGTTATTACGTTTTCCCGCTGTAGGACCACCAGCTGTTTTCATATTAAACGTTTTGCTATGATTAGGATTTTTCCGATGTATTTTTTAAAAAGTTTAATGTTCCATTTATATCTCTGATTGACGGATACGCTTCTTCTTTAAACAGGCACAAGATCCGAAATAATCGAACTCGGTTGATCCAAAACATTGTGAAAGCAGGCAATCCGACAGGAAAAGAAATATTTTTCACACTAATGACACTCGTGTATTTTGGTAGTTGCTATGAACTTTTAACATATGTTAAACGCATGACATTTTACATTCGTAACGTTTTAATAATGATGGCAATTGCGACCTAGTAGCATGGACACATTCTTTTGCAGCAATATTTCAAACGATTCGTTCAATTGATACATGTAAATGATATAAATAAATGTCCTGTTGATAGGCCCTGGTAGCTCCGAAGCTAGTGAGTAAACAAGATCGCTTTCTGTATTCTGTGGTGAATTTTATCTGTATTGTTTCCGTGGTATTGTGAAGTGGTAGTTTCTATCGCAGGTCACGATGACCATTTCTTTGCGTGTTGTTGTAGTCATTTATAGCATGTTTTTTTTTTTATTATTTTTAAAGATTTTATATGAATGTAAGCCGCTTTTCCAGTCACTGTTACTAATCAAACTGCTGTAAATCAGGACTGTTAAATGTGCTGTATGAACTATACAAGGGCTTATACGTTACAGATTCAGCTATATAACGATGACAGAGAGTTTTATTGAACTAAAGAAGAAGAGGTTGTCATCCATATTTTTCAAAATATGATGTACATAAACTCTAAAGACAAAACATATTTCGTTTTGCAGGCAAATAAAAGTTCATTGTATCAAATCATTATTTGAATACAATAAAGACATCTTCATCCTTTTGGGAAAATGACAAATGTGATATATACACATCATGCATACTCATTGCTGCAGTTTTTTTTATTTTATGTTTCTAATAAGCATAGTTATTAGTCCCACATGTCTCAATAGTATTAACAATGATTATATATCATAATTTGCGACAATGCATCACACGTACAATATCGCGACAAATATGTTAGCTGATGACAACTTTGATTTAATTCATTCAATTTATGTATCGTTGCCACGAATTTTCGATAAAAACATGGCATTTTGAATGCCGAAACTACTTATACAATTTTCTAAAACATTGATGTCGTCCACAAAAGAATAGCTAGCGAAACTATTTACAATGAAAAGGTGATTGAGACTATCAATTAATATCTACAGTATGTTACAATATAGTACCACTTGCTGCTGTAACCGAAAATATTTAACCATAACTTGATATTTCTAGATCTGGTAGTGGATCGCATTGATAATATATCTGCCTAGATTCATATACAGTACAACATCTTTAATCGTCTTTTTTTCAATTCACAGACTTTTCATTTAAAATAACTTTCGTTGTATTTACTTATCCTTTTGTTTTTCTTGTTACAGCTGTGACCTTGGGAGGAGGTGAATTCGTTGAGAAGGGAAATCCTATAACACTGTCCTGTAACGCCACAGGCAAATTAATGACCCCCGATGATATTGATTGGTTTAAGGACGGTATCAAAATTAGAAGCAGTGCCAGTAATTCTATACAAATCACAAAACGCCGAATGCCAGTCACACGAACATTAGTTAGTACTCTACGAATAAAACACAGCAATATGAGTGACGCGGGGACTTATATCTGTCGGAGTACAGACCTCAAAGTGAACGGCATCTACGTGAGCGTTTTAAATTGTAAGTATGTCATTATTATCAAATCATTTAAATGTTTTACATAATAGGTATTGCGTTATCAGTAATTCTCATCTAATGCAATAATGAATGTTGTAAGATATAATTGATTTATCAGGAAACGACAACGTGTCTTGCTTTGCTTAAATAATGTATGATAAAACAAACAAACTCAACGTATGTACATTTGTCAGTTTGTTGTGAAGGGCTCCCTGTACACGTATCTTATATCCAAGTTCTAAATGTTCATACGATCTAGTCAAAATCGGGATAATTGAAGTGTTACATCAGTCCATAAATTGTCGTTGGTATATCATTTATCCACGAAATAAAATTTTGGCATATATTTTTTTAAGATCATTTAAATACAATTCAGTAATGCCCCTGTGTACATTTACATAATGAATAATTATTCAACGCGTCATCAAAATGTAATATAATGACAAAAAATGTTTAAATGGAATATTGACCATGAAAAAATCTGGCAGGTGAAATAATTTCTTCTATTTCATGTACTTGTTATGTCATTTATTGGTTTATATTGAACTTAATTGCATATTTTGATCCAATTAGCCGGAAATAAAAAAGGGGAGAAATGTCTCATATCAGGAAAATATAATCTTGATTTAAGACATTTGCATGATATATGTATGTTTTATTTTTTTTTAATTTCTTTATTATCTTTTTATTTCAACTTTCTTTTGTTTGAATGTTTTTTTAGAAGTAAATATATCTTAGTGTTGATTTTTCTTTCCAGCGGAATCAATCCAGACTAAACGCGGTGAGTACTATTTTAACTTAATGTCATGTATGTGATGGTAATATAGCCATTGACTTGTACACAGGAGACAAAATCTGCAACACGTATCAAAAACATATACTGTAGGGGAAACAACTCGAGTAGAAACGATGTTAAATTTAAAAGTTCGCAAAGCACTTTATAAGACAGTAAGCACAAAGCATCGCCTTGACAGGATGCAAGAAGCATGCCGTAGCATACACCGATATTTTCAAAGTCAGATCGCCGTTGTCGACATCGGCGCCATAACTAGGTGTAATTACCAGGCAATGATGAACCTGTGTCGAAGAAAAGATTCAACAATGTGTGTTCATTGCTATTAGAAACTGAAATTTGGGTTATCGACTCAGTCCTTCGTGTCCGAGATAGCTTCTCTTACAGGCTGTGATTTGTTGAATGAAGGTTAATTATACGAAATGAGAACTTGCACCAGCTTCTGGCTGTTGCTTAAGGTATTTTTAATGCAAAACACTGTTTAAAACTGTCATTGCCTTGAACTGAGTAGTTATAGAAACGACCCATCTAAAGATTCGAATTGATCAATTGTCATGTCATCAGGATTTAAACAAACAGTATCCATTTCAAGGGAATGCATCATAGATAAGACGTTAAAATATCAACTTAATTAGATTTTAAATGGTAGTTTACATAACATGTGGATACTTGTAAGATATTGTGTAAGTTGTTGTATATCATATCTAGACGATGTTCTTTTCTAAAAAAATATGAAACGTCACAATCATGAATTTGTCTTCTTTGAAAAAATCCAAATATCAGAAAAAACACAGAACCTGACATAAAAGGGAAACAAATCATCCCTTGATTTAGTACTGTAAGTGTTGTATCAGCTTACCAATGCTAACTTATAATTATACTGAATATGTTTATCCTGTCTGAAATTTAATGTCATGATTTTCTTTCAGGAACAGACGGTGAAAACAAAAACGGCGAGTTTGGTCTACGCAAAACATCAGATATCAATGGCCAGTGCAGGTTACACGAACTACCCGTGCACGTGTTATTGACCTTTTACTGTCTTGTATATATACTGTCCAGATTTCACTAATAGGTTATCCTACGCGGGTGCGCGCACATAGACACGTGATATATGGGACTAGTGCCGCAATCAGACGGAAAAAGTCACTGGATATGGGCTAGCCAAGGATCGTATTGACTAAATATGCATCTGTCAATGACGCTTAATTATGAGGCGAGCGTGTGTATTAATGAGAGGTTCAAAGTATAGAGATCAACAGGTACATTCTGTTAGCGACCACCGAGGACAGTTATGTCTGGATTCTGAACAAATGAGCTGAATGGCTCCTACATAATAGTACATTCTTGTCGTTGCTGACCATTTCAGCGCATAACGTCAGGAAACATTATGCAACCGACATTACAGTGACGAACCGTCTGCCGCATTCTGTTCTCTACGACTTCCGGCAAGTTATTTCCGGTCCGGAAGGTAATGCTCATATTGACCCGACAAGCGCAGACCGATTAATTATCGGTGAGATTGCGCATGTGCGTTTCAGACAAGAAATGTCATGCTAACACGGAACACTGATCGTTTAAAGGATTCCGATTATTCGTGATAGAGGCCAGGTTCGTCGAGACATGGAAATTCAGAATATTTAACGGCCAATGATCAGGTTATAGCAGTCGTTCATCACATCTGATAAAGTCCGCATGGCTACACTATTGGTACTGTAGTCAACATTTCGAATCATTCATATTTATTATTTATACGTATCAGGGAGTTGCTATTGAGCAAGGGTCACATGTTACACGAACGATGGGTCCCAACTGAACTCTGATACGACCCGTGGTTCACGTAAGTCAAATTAACATCTGTACAATACCGAGCCCTTATGCCTACCCAACGTTCTTACGTGTTTTCTACACTTTTTTCTTTCTTCAATTTCCTACAAATTAATCATCTGTTTAAAATGTCACGTCATTACCCTGACGATAGGGTGCTTGTCACATTTTAGATGAATTAAATGAAAATGGAGTAAGTTTTGTTGATATAAATAAATTCCCCTGACAATATGGCTGCCTGATATGGTGTATCTACTTTTGATAAGACAAAAACAATGCTTACCTGCCATGTATATTACACTTCAGTTTCAGTATGTTTATGAACAATGTTCTCCTATAATGACTTCAGAAATAAAAAAAAAAAAAACGTCATGATATTTTTTTTTTCCTTTTTTTCTTTTTTTATTTTATATATATATTAAAATTGTAATAAATAATGATTTTTAACATTTTTCATCTTTTTTGAAAAATCGTCCATTTTCTTGTTAGGTGATATGTATTTGCCGTCATTAGATATGATATTTTTATATAATACAAAGAAATGAACAAGTAATAGTGCTGTAGTTTGTAAAGTCACAAGGCAACGGGGGCGACTACAACAGACAATTGAGAAGGACGATATCAGTTCTTATATGCATATATTATCAAATTACATCTGAAATATGATTTGCTTTCAATGTAGAACATTCTATTCTCTGTGGGTTTTTTATGCAACCTGTATTACACAATAATGAAAGTCTTCTATTGTATGTGGGATGAGTTTGCAGGTGTTACTCTATTACTTATCACAATATAATGCAACCAATGCTTTTTACCTGTTGATTATTTCGATTAGTGACGTCACCGATACATCGTTGTAAAATTCGCCCAATGTAACGTGAGTGGTTGGCTGTCATTACTGACTTCAGTGAGTGCGACATATTTGTACAGATAACACGTGATATGGGGAAAATCCAGAAATTGTTCATTAAGAAACAAATGCCGGCATTATGGTAGAAATAATTTTAAAATGTGTTTTCAAAGCGAATTGAGCCGACATTAGAAAACACATCTTCTTTTGAAACGTCAGAAAGTGGGGAAAAAGGCCATTATCACATAAAAATTCAAAACGTTAAGAAATATTTCCTTTTCCAAGTAATCATGCCATAAAAACCATCATTGACGGTTTATGATACAATACTGAACTTTGAAGTTTTTGTTTTTGGAGTCACTTTTTAAAACGAATAACATATTTTTTGGCTAATTTTAGATAATAGTAGCTACTGCAATACGTTGTCCGTCGATATCATCTCATAATGTCATTTCATCTGTGTTGTTAACCATTGCTAGTCGCAGTTTATCTTTTTTAGTACATCAAAACTGAAGTACCAACTGTCGAGAAACGGGTTTTGTACACAAGTGGCGGTAAAATCGTGAAACATCATAAATGAGACTATGATTATATAAAAAAAAATAAAACAATTTATACCGTTTTACTGTTTAAGTAAATGTGATTGATTTCAAGCTTAATTGACTGTTCGATGTACTTCCTAATAGCCTTCAGAGAAAGTATTACTCCTTCAATGAAACTCGTGCAGACCTGGTCACTCGATATGGTAGTAAAACAAAGAAATTTGAAGAAAATCCTGTTTTACGTTAGTTTTGTTTCATGTGTTTGCAATGGAAATAACTTACAGAAAAGATCTTATAAAGATGGTCCATACTATTCTCGATATGATAACGTTACATTGGATAACTATTGAAAAGAGAATATCTGAAAAATGTCCAAGACCTTTATAGAACCAAAATATTTTGAATAAACAATGCATACACTTGAATGCCAATAAAACAACCAAACTATTATCAAACCAAATATTCTGCGTCCTAGACGAAACCTGTCGTAAAATATAGATATGGTTAAGTGATTGCAAGTTCCTGAAAACCAAGCAAGAGATATCACTATATGAATAGGACACACGCGTGACTTTTATACAACACAAACATCGAACTATAAACGCTAAAATTATTTCATTCAGCGAAACGTCTTGATAACCGCAAACATATCTCCAACCATAAAAAGAAACGATACCTTGTGATGTTAGCCTGAGCACTGCCTTTGTTGTTTTATTTTATAGTAAGCAATTGTCTTTCATCCGCTGATAATGAATGTCATGTTGAGCAGTACAAGTCAGAGTGCAGCTTTCGATAGTCGCAAAAATAACATGTTTATCGGAAACGCATTTCTTTGAGTCAAGCGCATATAATGTATGTAAATGTTGATATAGTGTAATGTTTTGTTGTAAATAAGATGTGTTCTTTTCATTCCATTTGATACTGTTTACCATCTGTATATACTGCCATAGCGAACACATATACCTGTTATGTCCCTTTATTAAGACATGTCTGTCTCTGTATACCCGATTATTCTTACACCTCTTCTGTAACAAATTATCAGCCTAGCTGAACCGTCCGTCCATCTGGACGTCCATTGTTTTTGTCCCAGTATTCAGTGGATGGTTTCTCTAAAGAGCAAAGTGAAAAATAAACAATTTGATAAGTTGACACAGAAGGTTAGACAAAACAACATATTCATCAGAATATACGGTAGTAGCACTGTGGGGAACAAAAGGAAGCGTTCAAATTTGTCATTCAACTAGAGTTTGTTTAGCGAGAAAAAATAACAACAGCAAAAGCAGAATAAAGGACTTTGACATTACAATAATCATGTTCAATATTTATTCTGTGTTAAGTTTTTGACAATTTTGCAACACTTTGTATTAGCAAGATTTGTATGACTAAGCGAAAAGTTGTGCTATAACCGGTCAACAAATGAATTTCAAGATAAACAAGAATGTAATTGGATAATAATTAAACTCATCCATTTCGTTCTGTCTAATTTTACTGGCGTATATCTTTTTTGAAAATCAACAGAAAGAGTCATTTACAGAACAAGTTTGTGATAGCTCCTCTTTAGGTGGTGAGCATTAGACAATTTGCGTCATCGTTGCAAACTCAATATTCTAATCAGCTTGCATAAAATTGACCATATGATAACTTCACAAGCAATTATTTAATTAGAATGACACATCAATGGGTAGTTCATTTCTTAGATTTAAAGTAAAGTTCGCATAAATCATTTTCATTGGTTTCGAACGGTAAAGGAAAGACTTACAGAAATTCTCACATAATGAAAGCTACGTTCAATGCTAGGATTAGCTGTTGGTTAATAATCAGTGCCGCTTCCCATTCTGATTGAAAAAAAAAAAAATGATATGAGTCTGAATAACTAACAAGAATAAAAAGTCAGAATAATTCCCTCTTTAATGGTTTTGACAGAGTAATTAAAGTAGGACTTAATATAATAATTCTGATAGGTAACCTATTAAATTCAAAAGCTACACGTCAAAATGTTTATTGCACATTATTATTATCACAATTTCATGACATTGATTGTTTTTCAATGTGATATTCTTTTTTCCCATTATTACATGTTTATTGTTTTGATAACTTAGCAGGTCATTTTGTTGTTCTTTGCAACTTTGTCATACTGTTGTTGTGACTCTTCCTTGCTCTAACAAAATATACAGTTTTAACTTAATTGCAGTGTTTTGCGCAATCGTTGTTCTTCAAATGTTTCCTATCAAGTGTGCCCGATTGTCCAATGTCCTATGATGCATGGATAAATGTACCTTCGAGGACTTTGATGAACGTGACGAAGACGGATAAAAACTGAGATATGGAATAGGGTTATAATGCAGTATGACAAGGGTTGCTACGTAAACAACACAAAATACAGTATGTATATAGTAAGGAATGGTATGTTTTTGTATATATTAGAAACAAGAAAACGGAAAAATCGAGTCTAAAATGTACTGTAATAATTTATTGTTGAATATTTGAATTGAATATGTTGCATTTGTTAAAGATGCATATCTGAATAAAATGTTCAGTATTTTGTAGTATTGTTGTATTTTGTCTTTATTGTTGTGTTTTGTCTTTTACATATTTATTCATAACTACAGATATACATTACTACTAATATATCGAGCATACGATATTCCGTTCAGTTTTCATTATCACTCATTCATGGGGCAATCGTCAGAAGGGCCGGTGTTTTTGTTTTCGTGAATTCAAAATTTGCTTAACCAATCAACCTTGGTACATTATATGTCATTAAATGACCCGGGCTGCTAATGAGAAGTAAGGTAACAACAAATTGAACGAAATCGATACAGAATCATTGCCAAATATATGCATAACGATATTTTTCTTTGCAAAGGTTGTAAATTTCAATTATAGACCAAGATAAAGGGTATGTCGTTCTTTGATCATAGAAAATAGACTCAGTGCAGGTCTATATTTAACATAATTGTATAGAATGAATATCTGTCCTAGGAACAATAATGTTATTTACTTGAAATGCCGTCAGAAGACCGTATTCATTGTATTGCAATAAATGAGTCAAGGTCAAAATAGTTACAGTCCCTAGGTAATGAAGCTTCGAAAATTTAAGCGTTGAAAGAAACGACGTCACATACGGCGGAGTCTCGCAGGAAATTATGTTATATTCAAAATTATTATTTCAATTTTCAAAAGCTAGATTATTTGCCAGGTTTGATTGATGTTATCATACGGATGCAGACAGTATTGTTAATAGATCGTAATCCGACACAGCCAGAGTAACGGATATATATATATATATAAAGCAGGTTTTCTCGATAAACAAGCATATACAATTATCAATTTAAAAAAAAAAAAAAAAATTTTTTTCAAAATTCTGTTCTTGAAAACGTTTCAAGATATTTCTTCGAAATATTTACTTTTTGTATTCGAATTCCATTTCCCGTAAATACTGCCTCTAGAACAGACGCCAACTTCAATACAACTCAACATGTTAATCCTATCACATCGTAAAAATGATGTTATTGTCCATGATGTCGATCGTACATTATTCTTGGTAATAAACTTATGAGTGTACTTGTCAGAAATACGATAAGTCGGGAACTATTCCCTATTTGAGGATTGAAACTTATAATGTATTGCACTGACTTGCCTGAGTCTGCATTCATAGCAGATACATAGCAATATCATTCGCGTTCTCTCCATTAACTGTGGGTCTATATATTTATTGATTTCTTTTTTATTTTAAGGCCGGCTTTGGATAGGGAAGGATATAACAAAACAGTCAAGACTCACTTACAGTGTCGCGACGACAATATGTGTACGCTATTTCAGGCATTTTCACACTTTCTGTTGTTTCATTTCTTTCACTAATTACCATGCCATGTTATAAAAAATACTAGTATCGAAGATATGTTTTTCTTTATTATTTTGAATGGTACTATAAAGTCAGATATACTAGATGAATTTCTAGTTCG